TTACTATTATTAATTGTCCAATGAGGAATTTTTTTCTATTAGAATGCTTTTTTGTTCAATAACCTCGTGTTACTGGGGAAAGCGACAAGAGATCAACACATGCGCCACCAGCACTTTGGCCAAACACTGTGATACGCCCAGGATCACCATTAAAAGCACTTATGTTATCCTGAAAAATGAGAAAATTTTCATACAGTTTGTAACTGTCAAAGTACATAGCACAGCACGTATAAGAGTACTACATTATAGAAGATCAGGAAAAAAGTGATAGGTTGACCAAATTCACAATTGGTTATCCAAGTTAGAGCTGACAACTTTTCCAACTGTTCTGAGCAATGATGCGCCGTGTGGTGGTAAGCGTGCTGGTGATCTTCACACTTGTTTCGTTTACTAAAGGGACTAGTAGCTCAATAGACAGCAAGAAAGAATTTGGCAAATTTTATTCGTTTCGAGATGTCCGGCATCGTTTCAGGCGTTGCCACAATTAGGTCGCAATTGAGTACCTTACCAACTGAGAGGATTATAAATACGGAGTACTGTTAATTTTTAAAATAATTAAAAAGACCATTTTAGAAGCTTTTCAGTAATTTTGTAAGAACGATTTTTCATAACTACTACAAAAGAAGCGCAAACCTGAACCCATTTCAGAGCCATCGCCTGATCCCATAAGCCATTGTTACCCGGACACGCCTCGTCACCAGTACAAAAGAAGCCAAGCAAGCCAAGACGGTACTGCACCGTTACGACCACAACATCGTGACGACATAAATTACTGTAAATCACTATATATCAATTACTGAACCTATTGTTCACCACAAAAGTGATTTTTTAAAAAACAAAGGAATTAGTGCCGCATATAAACAAGTTTTCAACAGGATAACGACGAGTTTTTTTATTTCATGCATGGAATAATTCATAAATTGAAGTCACTAATGACTAGCGCTTCCTGAACTACAGTATGGAAACTGAAGCCACAGAACCCGTGCTTCCCCCAACTTTTCATTTTGTGAAATTCGGTCTGGATCAAGTTCTCTTAAAAATATGAGAAGTTGTCAAGGAAGAGTTTATCTGATTGGGGAACAGGTAGGTTTGTTCAACTGGCTTATGTAGTAACAGTATGGAATTTCAATTTAAATTTGTACACTATCAATGATAATGAAAGAAGTGATCGCAATAAAATAGTTACAAACCGTAACAGTGAGGCCAAGAGACCGGAAAGAGAGAGCGTGGGATCATCGTGATTCACAGTAGTTCGAACGAGGTGAGCGAATTAAGGAGAGGGGAACAATGACCGCTTTTAGGCCCACACAACAATTCTGGATTTTAGAATGTCACACTTTGAATAATGTGTAAGGGCCAGTAAGGTTTATTTAGAAAAAAACGAGTAATGTTGCTGCTGAATTCTTGAGTTGGTGCTAGTGCTTTTCAGTTGTTATTGGGCTTCTTGTCTGCGATTCTGTGGTTATTATCCAGCCTGACTGGTGCTGTTCCTGAGCTTGCTGCTGTAGAGTGCGATTCTTAAACGAGCCTCCAACGGAACCCCGCGGGATGGATAAAACCCGATAGCAGCGGAAAGAGCATCCCTGAACCACCACCTCACTTCCTCTTCATTCTATTACTTCAATTTCATTAGAGAACATTCCCAATTTATTTCACATCCCGGATTCGATCAATCTTCGCAACATGTATTAGCACAAAAATTGAGCGAAAAATGAAACTGATTATACTTGCAAATTCCAATATCGCCGTATTTTGAGGCAGAATCGATCAGAAAACCACCGCCATGCACAAACACCATTACAGCAAGACCATTCTGATGCAAAACTTCATTTAATTTTTCATTAGAAGTTATGGCAATGACAAGCAATAAACACTGATACGTCACTCCACATAAAACACGGGACAGCTTTCTTTTTTTCAGAATGGCATAATAATTTTTGAGTTCCTCGTCCACTTCATAATACATAAACGGTTACTATTCAGCAAACCCAAATTTACATACTGATGTGTTTTATCGCCTATGTAGCAATTTTGAGCTACTCCAGACTTCTACTTCTATTGGCATTAATAAATACCAATCCAAAATCAAAATCCCCTTCGCATTCGTTATCAGAAGCGGAAACACTCGGGGACTAGCTCGCTTGGGAGCGAGTACCACCAGCAACCACAGGCCAACAAGGCAACAAGGCGAGGATCTTACTAGCAAGCTGGTAACGGGCTTGACTCCCTGACAGAGTCAAACGAATGAAGAAATCTTAGAGAGATCGGTTTTACCGTCGGTGCAGCAGCACTCTTTCGATCTATTACCAAAGTACTAGCTCATAATGCGCACCCATTATCACCAGAATTTTCATACTTTACTAGCTCAGCCAGTCTGAACGAAAAATTTACAGTTACGCTGACCTGTTTTTCCGCTGCTGCTGCAGTTGGTACTGGCGAAAAAACATTGAGGTACAAACAGTCTTCGTCGGTTTTGACTGCCGCCAACCATCGACTCCAGATGAATTCCTTTTGCGGTGCGCGTGGGCCAAACTTCACAGTTTTTCTGATGCCTTCCCAAGCATCTGGTGGTTCCGGTTTCTTAAATTCTTTAAATGTAAAAATCCAAACTGATTTTAGCAACAAGAGATGAATATCAGCTGTCTTTAACAATCAATTCTATTAGAAAAAGAGACAGTTTTTTCTAAATTTTTGCTAACTCAGTGCAGCGATTCGTTTTTGACTTCCTACCACTGCTCTTTAAACATGAATGCAACCAGAAGCTATTTTGAGGAACTGTAACAGTCCGCAACAACTTGCGCTAAGTGCCGAAGAACACAGAAAGCCATCACATTAGGAAGTCCCACAGAAGCCATCAGGAATTAAAAAGTTTGTGCTGCATAATGAATTCCACAATAAGTGTTTTGATGTTAATTTCATAGTTGTCAGTTATCCCAACCCGCATCCCCCTTCCGACCAATTTCAGCGGAAGAGCAACCTTGAAACGCAGCGCGCCAATTGGAGGTTTGGCGAAGGGAATTCCGAGATAAGCGTCAATCTGGCAGTCGCCATCATCCACCAGGCGCACTCCCTCCACTAAACCATACTTTGTCCCCACCACTCGGCTTGGCTTCACTGCTATCGTCCGTTTACGTCGCGGAAACCGTAATCGTGTCATTTCTGGCCACAGCTGCAACTTTCATATGAGGATGAAATTCGACAGAACCACACACCATTCAGTTGCATGACTGAACGAATTCGCAAAAAAATTTGTGCTGGCAGTCAATCCGTGATAGGCCTCAAGTAATGGCAAATATCAGCAGCTGCTAAGTGCATGTCTGCTAGCAAAAATCCAATCTTTCGACAAGTCGTTTCCCGAAAGTTTAGTTGATACAGTCAAAGCGAGTTAGGCCCTAGACCTGCTTCGCAAACGATCCTCGATAAAAGAAATCTACCGGTATCCTTACCAGCGAATGGGTGCTAAAAGTGAGAAATTGCTTTCGTACATTTTGAGTGGCTCC